CGGGACCCAGCAGCCCTCGGTCAGCCGGGCCTGGGCCCTCCACACTGGTTCCCTGTGGGAGGCAGAGCCGAGGTCTGGAGCCCGCGGGCTCGCGGTGACAGTGCCGTGCGGTCCCTTCGCAGATGACGAGCTGAACCTGCTGGTCATCGTCATCGACACCAACCCCATCTGGTGGGGGAAGAGGGCGCTGGGAGAGCCTGAGGTATGGCCCTGCGTGCTGGGACTGCTGGTGGACGTTTCTAAGGGAAATAAGATGATTTTTCTTAAGGTGTGAGTAAATCAGCAAGAGATGGGGTTAGTCTTTGACTTATGAACTAGGCTAACACTATCGATGTCAGAATACTCTTTAAAAATAACATTCTGTATCACTAAAGTTTTTTTCTTCTGACTTCTCTGTAAACATTACTATGCTATTGTTCCTTTTTGCAGCAGTTTACCCTGTCGAAATGCATCGATGCAGTGATGGTACTGGGAAATTCACACTTATTCATGAATCGAACCAACAAACTCGCTGTGATAGCAAGTCACACACAAGAAAGGTAGAGTTGCTTCTTAACAGGGTAAAGGGTTAAAGTGCACTTTCCTATCTGTGTCTCCTGATCTTGAAGTATATCACTGAAACTGAATTTGAAGTGTGTAATGTAAGAAACCAGCTGAAACAGTATAGGAAAGAAGTAATCTTAGTGCCTGACAAAGTAACAAAAAGGCTTAGAAGATAGAAGGAAGGTTTAAATAGACTTAGAGAGAGAGAGAGAGGATGGTAGAGGTGTGTGGAGTGGGACAACGTAAATGGCAGAAGTTTCCTGCTCCTTCCTTTCAAGACTCTTTTAAATCTCTCTCTTAAGTGTCTCTTAAGAGAACTGGGAAAGTGATACCATGGCTGTACTTGGAGGTAAATCCTGAGACTCACAAATATCTGCAGGGAAAATATCCACTAAGCAGGATAAACTTCAAGATCAGGAGACAGAGATAGGAAAGGAAGAAGCCAAACCAGCCTGAGTTTGAAGGTTCTCTCCCTTATGTAGTCAATTTAATATCTGAAGTCTTAAAAGTATTTTAAATTGCACTTCAGAGTTTTGCTCTCTGCACCTGATTAATTTATGGCATTATTTTTCTTCCAGGGTTAAAGACAGAGCATGAATACTTTGTTTTCCTTCTGTTTCAGCCGTTTCCTGTACCCTGGGAAGCGTTGGGCTTTTGCAGATCCCTCTGGAGAAGGAAGCAGTTCCATGGAATCTAATTGCTCTGGCAGCAAGGATGGAAAATATGAATTATTAACAGCCATAAATGATGCAATTGCAGAAGAGATTAAAGACCTCATGACAAAAAGTAAGGAGAAGAAAATTCCAGCCTTAATGTGTGGATTGCAAAACACTTGGACTCTCCAGGAGCTGTAGGAATTTCCTCTGTTTTCATTGTGTGATTTTTTTGTATGTTTACAGTAGATGAGTTTATTAGGATTGACACTTCTGGCCTCTGCATTCATACTGTTTGCCAAAGATAAAAACAGGTGGTGTTTGGTATGGAGAGGTTGAGGAACTGTTTTTATGTATAAAAGTAACTTCTGCAGCTTTCCTTGCATTGCAGCTGACGTGAAGGGCCAACAAACAGAAACTCTGTTAGCAGGATCACTTTCTAAAGCACTTTGCTGTATCCTTTTGATCACAGAATCTTCAAAACCTTTCTGTGTTTTAAGACTGTTTCTGATAATATTTGTTAAGTTTTCCTGTTCTATTTCTTTATATAATACTTCAACCTGAAATGTTTGGCTAATAACTGTGGGTTGTCCTTCTTAAATGTGTGTTGGCCAAGGTGGTGAATATGTGGTATGGATCCTGGAGGAATTTCCAGGAATAGAATGTAGATTCCTTAATGATAGCAAATACAGACATCAACAAGATGAGCAAAGATTTAAAAGGTAACACCTCCTGTTTTCCATACTTGCACAAACGTGTGGCCCTGAGTGACAGGTGGAAATGCATATGTACACATGAACAAATATGTATGTTTTGACACACTGCCATTTGCAGAACTGGCAGTAATAGATACAGGTTTGTCCTGATCATTTGGAGTTGAGTAGTTTAAACTCAGTCTGGGTGACAATCAGAAGTAAAGGACTTGAATTTTAGTCCATGTTCTTATGCAGATTTTCTGTTGCATGTGAGTGAAACTGTAGCTGGAATCTCCTTAGAGGCTGAGAGGAATTAGCCCATGGATACTTGTCACTGGGACTGTCAAACAGTTTCATATAGATATTTTCTCTGAGCTCATATCCCTAACATCCAAGAGGTTTGATATCTAGCTGAGGTGTCAAATGCTACAGAATTAAAAGGGCAAACTACAGGGATAATGTGCTCATGCATTTCTCTTTCTTTTTAATACTTAGCCAATCAAGAAATGAAATCAAGGATTTTGGTAAGAGGTTTTTTTGCTGTCAGTTTTCTTTTAGTCTTGAAATCCAGTGACATATATAGGCTAACAAGTCTGAATTGTTTTATTTAGGTCATCAAAGCCGCAGAAGACAGCGCATTGCAGTATATGAATTTCATGAACGTGGTCTTTGCAGCACAGAAACAGGTGGAGCTGACATGTTTTTCTCATATATTATCTTTTATTTATGTGCAAACACAACAAAATTGTCCAACTCTCTTATGATTACCTGCAGAAGCAGATGCATTTGTTGTGGAAATGAGTCATGACAGTAACACTGCCAGGGCTGGATTTGGTTTCCATGCATTTCCTCTCTTTTGCAGAGTATTTTGATTGATGCCTGTGTCTTGGACTCTGATTCAGGTCTTCTACAGCAGGTACAGACTTCCCGTTCTTATTTGCTGTTTCTGGTAACACATAAATACTTGATACTGGACAGTTTGATATGTTCTTCAGGTCTTCCCTTTAATCAGGAGTGGGTGTGGAGCTGTGTCCAGTGGAGCTGACAGTTCTGACACAGAGGCTTTGTGCAGTGTGTGGGTGTCTTGAATATCCTGCTAGCTCATAAACCAGCAGTGTGCTCATTCTCTGTGCTTTGCAGGCCTGTGACATCACGGGTGGCATATATCTGAAAGTGCCCCACATGCCATCCCTGCTGCAGTACTTGTTGGTGAGTCACTTCAAAAACACTTCGGGGTTTTTTGCTGTGTCAGATGTGAAATCTCACCGACTTCATTAACAAGGTAACACAGCAGTACCAGTCCAATCCACAAAGCATTTTTCTCTGTCCGTGCAGTGGATGTTTCTCCCTGATCAAGAGCAGAGGTCACAGCTTGTCCTTCCACCTCCTGTTCATGTTGACTACAGAGCTGCCTGCTTCTGTCACCGGAACCTCATTGAAATTGGCTACGTCTGCTCTGTGTGCTTGTCAAGTAAGCTGAGAAATATTTAAGAGTCTGATTTCTTACATTCAAAAAACTTATTTGTAGTGAAAACGAATTGTTTTCTTTTCCAGTATTCTGCAACTTCAGCCCAATTTGCAGCACCTGCGAGTGAGTGTTTCTCCTTCTTGTTCCTGGGGTGGGTGTGGAAATATGTTCAGTACACCTGACAGTTCCTTTTTGATGTTTTTGGTTTTTTTTTCCCCAGGACTGCTTTCAAAATCTCCTTGCCACCTGTCATGAAAGCGAAGAAGAAGAAATTAAAGGTAGCTGCCTAACGTCCTTATGTAAATACATCATTACCTCCTCCAGTAATTCCAGAGAATGGAACTTACTTGAGAACTTGATGGCACTTTTTGTTGGATATGGATGAGAACTGTATGCAGTGCTATTACTTAGGGGATAAATACTTCAATCCTATGTCTTCTACGCAGCCATTTCAGTAACAAATCACTGTATTGCCATGTTTAAATACTGTTTTAAATACTGTTTATGGATTGTAGGAGGAACCAGAGTTAAGTTAAGAAGTGAAGGTATTCTGGCCACAAAGTTTCCCACCTCTCAGTTATTTTCAAAGACAAGAAAGCTTTGATTCTTTTTGTATGTTGATGTAAAGTTAAGAATGACCATTTCTAGTGTGTAGGATCAGAACCATAACACAGTGTTGTTTAGGGACTTCAACTTCTTGCAAGAGATTTTTGGACTGATGCTGTTTCAGTTTCAAAACAAATGAGCCAACGTTTTCAAGATGGTTTGGGAGCCACTTGGAAAACCAAAGGTGCTAGTTGCCCTTTGTGTGCACTCACATGTGTTCATATTGCTCTGACTGTGCTGCCCTTGTGCTGTTTCTTTCTCAATTTGCTGTCTCTTTATTTGTGAATAAAAAAGCCTCCCTGTGTTTTAAATAACATCAGTGAATGCAGACTAGTAGGTTAGTCTTTGAGGTTGTATTTTGACACTGGAAAACAAAAAATTAAGTTGTATGACAGCAGGGTCAGTTCTTTTTGTAGCGTGTGGTTTGACATCTGCCATTTGACAACAACAAAGAGCTTTGGATGAGTGAATTTTACAGCAGGACAACAAACAAACAAATGCTCTTCCTTTCTAAAAACAACTCTGTGGTTTGGTGGTTTAACCTGTTGTTCTCCTAAAAGGGATACAGAGAGGAATTGCTGCATACACAGAAAAAGAACAATTTTTTCTTCTCAAGAGATTTATGACACTTGCCTCATGTTTTGCCACTGTTCACAGCTGCAGCACCAGTTTTTTTCCTGGCTTGCAAGCTTTCTTTTGGTGGCCAAAAGCCATCATTAACTTTGTATAAACCTTTTACAATAAAAATCACTTCTCTTTCAAGTGTGGTGAGGTATTGCTTTAATATTTTTAGGGGTGAGCTGCACTCTTTTCTTAGAGTTTCATTGTGTGAAATGAAACTCTAGGTTTCATTTCGGTCGGGGGTGAGGTGACAGATGATGATGTGATGATGTGGAGAAGAGGAGGCTCAGGGGAG